ATAAGTATAAACCAAAATTCTCCAGTGGAGCTAAATGTAATGACACAGCACCCTCTCCAATGACCAGTGCTCTCACTAACCTGGATCCCTGCTCTCTCCCTCTTGCAGGGACACTGCTGGGTGCTGACAGAAGCACTTTTTCCCACATGAGGAACAACTGTTTCCCACTGTATAGTCCTGTATGCTCCAATCCACATAATGAGGTAAAAATTCAGTGAAGGGGAGTGCAGCTACATTCTGTACAAGAAACAGATCTCAAAATGAGTTATGGTTCTTACTCCAAGCCCCTCTTTTCACCTTGTTTGCAGGAATAAAGAGCACAACACAATAAGTTCCTACATATACAAGTAAGAGGAATGCAAGAGAGTCGTGCAGAATGCCAGTAGTTGTCTTCCCATGAAACTTTAAAAAAAAATAAAAAATAAGACAACAAGGATGTTACTCACTTCCATATCCATATCTTACAGTAAGATGATTACAGGGCACAAATGTGTGCTCTTCCATTAACTACCCTTCCTCTATACTAGGACATAACTAAGGAAATATTTAATTACATCCACTTTATTCAGCAAGACTATAAAACCATTCTTGTGCTGTTTGATTCTGAAATGATTAACGGATTTAAAAACAGGATCTAACAATTTGTGTGTGCACAGTATATTAAACGTAGATGCTTTTATTACAATCTTCCTTGCCACATATTTTAAAATAAAATCAATCAATACAATCACCATAACAGTCTCAGACAACAAATTAACACCATCCAATCAAGACACAGTTAAGATACTCAAAAGGCAGTATGAGTAGCTGGAAAACCTTGGTCCTCTGATTCTTTTGCTTAACACCTTAATTATAGAATTCTCCCCTCTTATGATAAAAATCAGCAAACAAACATCAACAATTCATACTGCAGATTTCTTAGATGTTTGTATCGAGTGGGAACAACACTGATTTTAGCACAATGTCTTTATGCACATCTCCCAAAGACATGGGAATTTTCCTGTAGAGACTAATCCGAGCCCAAAATAAGAGTAGATGGTTTGTAAACAACTTTTGGTCTCTCCTGCACCATGGCTCTGCAAATGAGTGAGTGCGCTTGGAGTAATCAAAACGGTTGAGCACATGCCCTGTGAACCATTCCAGAAAAAAAGGGGGACCCATCACACAATTAGTTCCAGTAAGCAGAACGAAAGGAGTTGACTGGACACAAACACAAAGCATTCACCTCTCCCATGCTCACAGGTACTGCAGCATGAGGGATGTCCTGTGCCACTGACCTCACACGGACACGTGAAGTCACCAGTCCCGAACTGCTGAGTGCTGCGCTCTGGGTTACAGACACCTTTCATGCTCTTAGGACAGTCATGGAAGATTATCCATTGGTTATAGACTTCACTCTCTGGGCTAAAGTGCTTGTTCTGTAATCAGTTAGGAGCTAGGCTAGTTTAGATTAACCATTTATCTTTAACTAAAGGTTTGCAAGTGGATCACACAACCCTGAAAAATCTCCTCCGAGCCCTCAAATAAATAGTAGGCAGCTGTCTGATACTGAGACACTTTCCAGCTGCACCAGACAGACAGCAGGAACTCAGAAAAAGATACAGGTATTATGCAGGAGGAGGGAATAAAACACAGGACTGAGCTGAGTCTGAAATTCTGTTCTGCACACAGGCTCTGTGCCACTCTGAACAAATAAAAATGCATCCAAGTATTAAGTATGTATACCTTGGCATTTAAAAATAACTGTTAGCCTGCTGTGGCTACAAAATGTTAGCTACAGATTATATTTACAGATAATTTCTGATGTTTGTTCCTGGCAAGAGATGTTAAGCCCAATTCTTCAGCGAAGACATAAACCTGACCTAATTTAGACCAGGTCAGCAGGAGTTTAAAACAGATATCACATGAGCAACCCCCAGGGACTCTTAAGCAGATGAAGCCAGCAGCCCACTGCTACAGGATCCAGCTACTGTGAAATAGGAATTTTGCAAATTGAGCATATTAGTATTAATATTCTTTTGTTGTTAACATGGATATGTCACAGATTCTAAGGAAGGTGTGAATTACTGAACTGATCCATTCTTTGAAGCAGTGGGAAAAGATCACACCTGACAGACATAACCTGCTCCAACAAACATATCACCTTCTCTTTTATGGCAAGATCACTGTTCATTATGGTTTACAATTAAAACCCTGTTTGAAAGGTAGCTTTAGGTTTTCTAAATTCCAGGCTTCTTTATTTCAGGAAAACAGCCCTTGTTTTTCTCTCAATCCTCTTGTGAAGGTCTATTTATTCTAGTGGCAAAAAAAAATCCTGCTGTCCCACACTTACTAAAAGGGCATCGACCATGGTATGTACAGGTAGGGGAAGTTCAGTATGTTGATCCCTTCCTCCCAAGAGGATAGTGGGGATTATACACTTCCACATGAAATAGTATGATTTTAAAAGATAAATAAGCTCATAGTTATGTCTGGAATATGGCACACAATACTTGGTTAATCAATGTTAGAAACAGTTAAAATCCTTTTAGTGTTCAACTGCTGAAATGCACCACTAGCTACAGTATTTAAATATCTTTGCTGAAAGCAATTATCTCAAAAAAGTTAACTGTCTTCCTGGCACAACTGCCCAAGCAAGCAGCAGCTTATCTGAGAAGGGGGCAAAATATTAATACGAGCTATTTTCTGGCCCATCTGGAAGTTTGTGTGTGGCAGAGAGAAAAAAATATTTGCATCAATTTAAAAACACAGCACTGCAAAGAAAGGCAGCTTGTTGTGCTTCACAGAATCACAGGATGGCTGAGGTTGGAAGGGACCTCTGGAGACCATCTGGTCCAAGTGCAGCAGGTTGCTCAGGGCCATGTTCAGTCAGCATTTGAGTATCTCCAAGGATGGAGACTCCACCACTTCTCTGGGCAACCTGTGCCAGTGTTTGATCACCCTCACAGTCAATTATGGTTTTTTTAACGTTTTAAGTGGATTTTCCTGAATTTCAGTTTGTGCCCGTTGCCTGTTATCCCTTTGTTGGGCACCACTGAGAAGAGTCTGGCTCCTTCTTCACTGCTTCTCATCAATATTTATACACACTCTTAAGGTAGTTCACATATTTTTACATGTTGCACATACTTTTACATGTTGCACATCAGCCAGGAGTTCACATCCCTGTTAATGACTGCTAATTTCAGCAACTGTTCACATCACCAAAATTATTATTGCTAGAAAATTATTTCATTACAGTGATTACTAAAAATGGTGGCAGTAGAGTCATATTTTGTAGATAATTTCTGATGTTTTTTTTTTCCTTAAAATTCTCAAGTCATATGATTTTTTTTCCATTTTTATGTCAAACGCATGAGAGGAAATAAAATTAATATTGGTTGTTGAGAGTGAAAGCCTGAAGTTTGGCTCTTATATTTACTGCAAAACACATTCCTCTTAAATTTCATTTGCTTCAAAGATATTAAAAATTGGAGGTTTCAGAAACTTATTATGATAACTATTCTATTAAAGAAAACCTATTCAGCTAAAAATTTACATCAAGAATAAAATAGTCTTCTACTAGGTGAAAAAAATTAACTTTTACAATGGCAGAAATTCATGACAATGATGGGATAAATGAAGACTATCAGTTAGGCAGATGTGAGGAGGAAGATGAAGGAAAGGTATCTGGGAGATACCCAAGAGTGAGTTTCCTCAGCCTACTCAGGTAATCAAGAAAAATTTTCCTCTAATGCAAGTTTTCTTCATGTTCCTGCAATCAGAAATGCAATTTTAATCCCTTTATGCAGTCTGAGACAAACAAAGCTCATCAACTGAACGTGAACAGCAGACCAGACCTCCCTCATCTTGGGACATCAAGAACATGGGTCCCATACAGATCTTGTCTGCATGTCTGTCCCAGTGGTTCGGGATGTGGCTGTGATGTACTGGACACTGATATTATTAAAAATCCCATTTTGAAGCTATATGAAGAAGAATTTTGAAATTAAGATGCATTACTAATAACAATGCATTTCTGTCATCTCTAATTGGCTGCAGAGACTTACATTATGAACAAGGTAATTTTCTATGTTTTGCTGCATTTGGTAAACACATGTAACTCACTAAAAACAAAAATAATACTTTTCTCACATTGCTTCATTGATAAGCCTGTCTACAGTGCTTACTACTGTGGAAGTGCTCTGTGTAGTTTTTAAGTACAAACCAGGGCAGCCACCTTTCAGAGTAAGAGCTGCTTTCTCTTTTGTCCTTAACAGAACGTTTGTCCTTAGTTAAAAAACAGAGAATCAAACCTGACCTTGGAGGTAGAACTACAAACTCCTAACCAGTGCTACTGAATAAAAAAGTATTATCTTATTAATGAAGGTGTTTCTGGAGCAGCTTTTGGAAGAAAATCATGTGGGCACCCACAGACCTAAGAAATAAGCAGCCAGTCCCAAACTGTGCAGCTGTTCACAGGCCAGAAGCAGGAGCAGAAATCAGCAACATGAATGACACCTCAAGGTCACTTCAGAGTACTGAACATGCCAAACATCTTCAAAGTACTCCTACACACAACCAGAACTTTGTGTGTAGCTTTAACCCTGCTTAGTCTCATAGCAGCTGAGATACTGAATACCTGAGTAGGTAACCAGGTACCTCCAGGAAAAGGGAGCATGGAGCCAGCTCCGTTGGCACTAGAGGCCATCCTGAAATACATTTTCCAGTCAGTCAAGCATTCCATTAGCAAATTCACATCTAAAGTCTTCGGCAAGGCAGGAACATTGTTCTCTCTTGCCCTGGGTTGTTACGCAGACTAAGTGAATCCGACAGCCATTTCGATACCTGGAATATGCTCAAATGCACACTAACTGTTTTGTTTTTTAAACTGAGCAAGGCCAGCACATATGTTTGAGAGTGGATATCTGCCTATGCTGGGCACTATTTCATGAAAGTCAGGTTTCTGTCACAGATCTAAGGCAAATATTACAATTTACAGGAAAGAAATGAGGACATCAATACATTGTGCGTTATTGGAGACGTACAGCCTTTATAACACGGTGGCTTTCACTATGATCTCTGGGTTTTCTATGTCCTTTTTGCTTTGGACCATTCTCAGTTCCAGCTGGGCTGAGTTTGGTTTGTTTCCTTCTCCAGCTTGTGCTAAAAAGATGACATCAGAACGTCATTAAAAACAGAAATATAAAAAGAAACAAGTTGCATTTTTCTCTTATCCCACGATTTTCTCTACCTTCCTCCCTTCCCTTCCCCAATTTCCCTTACAACCCCCTGCTAAAGGCTTCCAAGGTACAAGATCCAGGTCAGCACTGTGATTTTCTATAATCCTTGTTCAGCACCTCTCTCCAGGCAAATACGGCTCTGCTGTTAATTAGAAAGTGACACAGACACGCTCTGAGAACCCAGAGATCCCATCTGGATCTCCTTAGAATTGAAAGACATGGGAAGTCCAAGGGGACAGAAGCTGAAAAAAATCACTCCTCACATGGCCAACCAAGCAAAGAAATTATTATTTGCTGATAAATCCCTCTCAATACTAAACACACACTCAAGGGGAAAGTGAGTGAGCTACACTTAAAACAGAAGCCCTCTTGCACATCAAACTCGGCACTTCCTCATGTTCTTCTGCCTCTGTTTTGCAGAGCTGAGTCAAGCACAGTCAGCACGACTGTGGTTCCACTACAAGCTAAACAGTGACATCTTCAGTCAGCTGTTGTCAAAGATAGGCTTGGAGGACACAGTCAGGAACATGCAGACAAGACTAACAAGCTCTCATCCTGTAAATTCTCTGGCTGCCTCTGCACTGAGGGCTGCCTTTAGTCAGGAAACCCACAAAGCTCTTTGAATGTTTCTTCTGATGCAAATGCAGACAGAACACGGGAACAAGGTCTGAATGAATTACCTTTTGCACTCTTAATGGTCCTTTGCAGAACATGCTGCATGGCTGACACAGTCTTTTCACATGCCACCTGCATCAACATAACATATTCAGGTTTTAGTAAAACTTCGGCTGCCTAGTTTAATATTACTATTATTTCAAAAACACGGCTATTAAAAGGCAAACATGACTGATGACACAAGCAGGATGACAACTATGTAATGTAGAGTTTGGGGGAAAAAATTTTTGACTTAATTCTCTAACCAACTGAGCTAATTCTCCCAAAACAGGTATTAGAAACCATATACTCATATCGAGGACTTTATATCCTTAAGGGAAAGGAACAGAAAAATAGATCTGAGAAATTGTTTTCAGTGCTTATTATGACATGAGGATAAAAAAATGTAATTACAAACATGCATGCAGTCTCTCTCTCTAGAGAGAACAACATCTTATTTGGAAAAATTACAAAATCAATCCAACTGAAATGCAAATGCAACTGTTTGATGCTCCTTTTGGCAAAAGGGAAATTCTGGGTTTTTTTCCTCTGAGGTGAGGAAAAAAAGCCAAAACAGAAGACAGTCTTTAAATAATGTCATAGATTAAAAGTCATAAAAAACCCAGAAGAAACGTGGTCTAAACTTGCAGAGAGATGAGTAACTTCTCCCACACCTTCAAATTGTTTGGATGCTTGTGTGTCCATGCCAGAAGCATAGCAGCAAACAGGTCTCCTGTTCCAACAAAGACAGCATCCACTTTAGGAGACTCCATTCGAATTCTTTGTGTTATCCTGGTACCATCTGCTTTAGCTATAACACAAATAGAAAGTTAAGTAACAGACCCAGCAACTAACACAATAGCATTTACTAGAATTTAAAAAGAAATAATTTTAAAAGTGATCATCAGATTTGAATTCTTCTGTTGTTTGGAATGTAAAGCTGCTAAGGAGTATTGTAAACTTTGTACTTTAAAAGAGAGGGGTTTTAAAAGGCACAACCTTCAAAAACTTGGCCAACTTGGGGTAGCATTTACAACTTATATACTCTACATACTTCATTTGACAGGGAGGAGGTAGATAGCACCTTCATTTTTCATTCCTCAAAACTGTGCCCTTCTCAGGTGGAAACACTGTGTGACAGTCTGAAACACAGTGAATCTTGGTGATGGAATAAAGGGGGATATAAAGAAGGAACAGAAGCATATTTTATAACCTATGATGGGAGGAACAGTCTGCTAACAGTACACTGTAACTTTTCAGAAAAGTATTCAAAACATTCCAAGTTCCTGTTTTATATCACCACTACTCTCAGGGCCACTACTAGGGGCTGTAAGAGCCCTGATAAAACTCACCCAGGACATCCCCCACCCTGCACCCTCTGCCCAGGAGCTGCAGAGAAGCTCAGGTCTGGGCACAAGCACCCTTGCCTGAGCTCTGTTGTAGGTATTCCTGTGTTCAGCCCTGCTGTCCTGACTCAATGTTTGGATTTTCCAGATTAATTTCAGACCTGGCTTGTCTCACCTTCCTCTGATGACCACTGGCCTCTCAATGGGACCTGTCCTGCTCACCTTATTCAGATACAGTGGGTCTGAGTCTTGTGGATGTTCTGCCTGTGCTGTGATCACACACAGCTCCCAGCTTGTGTTCCCTCAGGGAGCAGCCCCAGTCTTACCACTCCTTGATATTACTCTAGGAAAAGCTGTTCCCTTAGGGATCTACACTCCTTCCATGCACTACAGATGGGTGTGACGAATTACTTCATCAAGAGACAAGTTAAACGAAAGCACAGTCAAGGGAGGAGTTCATGACTTACTTTTTCTGTGGCTTCCCAGAGCAATTAAGTAGTCATTTCCCAGAGGTGCCTGTAGATCTGAGCTTGTGATCACCACAGTCTCTGGTCCCATGGCATGGAGCATATCCATTACCTTTCCATGTACAAAAAGGCAGGAATCAGTGACTGCAGTTACGTGTTGGATAAACTTTGCATCATACTTAGGATTTTTGACCAGCACCTTATTTTGGCATGTTTTGTAAAGAGAAAAGCAGTTTCTGCTCAAATAATTCACTTGAATTAGGGGCATTACTTTGATATAGGGGAATCAAAACATCCACACTTAAATGTACACACTTGTTAAAATATACAAGCGTCTCTGTTTGTGTTATCTTTGGATGTTCCTCTGAAAAGAACACACTGTTTCAGCTGTGATCAGATTTTTTGCCTGCATCACGTTTTCAGAACGTATCATCAAAAGAACAGGAGAACAAATTCACCTGAGCTGGCATCTTGAAACAGTTGTTAGAAAGCCAACAAATCCAGGTCCTGAAATCTTATTTAGCTACTATTTTAAGAGTTAGCAAAATTTTTAAAAGTTAAATCAGAGGTTCAGGTGTGTCTGTCTCAATATTCCTTTCTCATTCTGTTTCAACCTCCAAATTACACTTGCAAATTATATACCTTTGCATGTGTATTTTCACTCTGTGTTCCTCACTTAAACTCATAAATACTCTACTTCTGACATCACAATTGGTTACTACAGAAAGAAGTGATTTTGATTTCACAGAAGAAAGAATGACTTCAGTAATGAGTTTAGCATAAAACACAGATAAAATATTAATTCTCCCAGCAGAGTTTAACTAAAAATCCTCTCAGGCTAGCTATGACTCATGAGCAGACGGATTTATTTCTGCTATTTTTTAATTCTCTATTGCTTTTCTTTCTTGTATAAGCCTCCAGGTTTCTTCAACTGTCAGACCTCTTTGCACAGACATCAGTTGGGTTTTAAAGAAGCAATAAATCCACCAGCATACACTGACATAATCAACTGTGAAATAGTATTAAACTAAATTTCATTTCTCAGTCACAATTCACCAAGAACCTAATCTCCACTATTTCTAGTCGTAGGAACTACATTAATATTACATCATATTTAATTTTATGTTAGATGGCTATACTGTCATCACTAGTCTGGTTGAAGAAATGAAAGCATGTCACCATGGAAGTTGATGCCAGAATTCCTACCACCTCAAAAGGGGACAAATTCCAGCATGGATTATTACTCAGAAGGACAGACTATATATGATATGCAGCTGGGGAGACAGATAGATTAAAATATAATATCCTGCAAGCAACTATTTTAAAAATCCTTCCACTCCTAAATATAATTCCACCTCTTTGGAAGAGATTTTTTTAAACCCCATCACAAATAAATGCTATCACACCAAACAGTCAGAAAACTAACTTGCACAACTGGTCAGCACATGCAACTTGTGTTTGCAGCTGAAATATGCAAATCTAAAACCAATGGCTGCCCAGCTAATTGTGTTCTCCTCAAGGCCGTGGGTCCACTGGTGAGGATGAGAACGGAAGAACTGAGTTGCAGTTAGTGGCATAAAGCACAGCTCATCACCCTCACCCAGCACAGTGGGGTAATGTAAAACTGGGGGTTGTAAAAGTGGGGGGGGGGAAGGTGAGAACTAAAACAGCTGAGATCTTTTTAGATGCTTCCTGCAGTGAATCAATGGTAAGCAACCCATGTTGTCTGATGTCGCTACAGCAAAAAAACAACAAACATTTGGGCTGACAGACCCCCAGCGACTCTCCAGGGTGCCACTGCAGCTGCTGTTTGTTTAGATTTTGTGTTCTTTTGAAGTTCAAAACCAAACTGGAAGGAATAACATCAGTCCATTATGAAAGCACTTGACTAGTCAACAAAGAGCTCAGCCCTTCTCAAGACATCAATAAAACCACATTCCTATTTTGTCCTTCACCACCAAGCCCTGCAGCTTTTTATTTTCTTCAGTTTGTATGAAAGGGTAAATCTTTACACCTCGATGCAATATATTTGCAGGCTATCTATCATCTCTGTATGGCAATGACAGCAGCTGTCAATGCTGTGGATTTGTCTGGGAGAAGGAGGAAAAGCTGTCCTCACACTCAGCCTTGCTGCTGCACGACTCACACATGGACAGCAAACAGAGAGACCTGAGCAGGTTCCTGATGCCCAGGGTCACCCAAGGTTTTCACCCCAACCAAAGCATTTCCACAGCACTGACAAGTGTCTGGGTACTTGCCACATGTGCTGCTGCCTCTCTTCTTACACTGCAGGAAAGCAACCTCACGGAGATCTACTCATTACCAAGGTAATGGCTTTATCTGTAGCTCTTTCTGGAAGTTTCTGTCGAAGTCTGACACTAAAATAGGAAATGTTTTGTGCCTGGAGTGCATGAACTTTTTTGATATACAGAAAGAAAGGGTGGAGGCTAAAGTGACTTCAAGGTTAAAGACAAACTGCAAACTGCAGCACTGCAGGCAGGAATGCAGAAAGAGATCTTACACACCCTACCCTTTCCCTACTTACCTCTAAAGCATCTTTTTCGGTGTAAATCTTCCTGCCCGTGAGTAACCTGAGAATGAAACAGAAATCTTAAAAGAGCACAAGTACTCCAGGCAGTGACTGCTTTGTTTATGCTTTGAAAGGAGGAAAGCTTGGACTGCACCAAACAAGCCTAAACCTTCTGTAGCTTCACGGTCTGCTGGACCAGACCGCTGTCTTTAAAGGTTACGTGCACAGACACACAGTGCTTCTGCAGAGGACTCACACCAGCCCTAACCTGCCTCCTCTAGAGATCCCTGTACCACAAAAATTCCCTTACAAGTGTCTTCTCTCCATCTCCCATGTAGCTGCTCCCTCCCCTCAGGGGCATAGCCTGTGATGTATCACAACAGATTATTTCCTGACCAAAGAGTCACAGTCCTATGTAGACAGGACAAGCAGCAGGCATTTAAATTCTTAGCTCCCATGAGATGTTGACATGGTGGTATTTCTGAATCTAGTTTTGGGGGGTTCAACCCAACTATCTCAGTTTTGATATTCTAACATATAATAAAAGTTTCCATAGTAATGGGTAAGGATGGGTAAGGTATTTTTTCAACCTGTCCTAGATACAGGCCTCTGGGGATAACAAGAAGTAATCATGAAAATGAGAGACTGGAGAAAACAAGAAAAATCTTTTCCTCACATAACTTCCAGATTTTTTATTGATTTCAGTATGGAACATCTGAGGTTGTCTGAAAAGCACCACTTGAAAGTAACAGCTAAAAACCAAACCCCAAAACATACCTACATAAGGCACTATAGTGAGACAAATAAAATAATGGGGTATCAGCCTTCCCTGATTTTGTCCCCAAGTTTATTTGGCTAGAAAAGGAAATAAGCACTTACTCAGCTTCAAACTGGTTAGGAGTAATTATATCTGCAACAGGTACAACTTTGTCCCTGTAGACTGGGAGGAGATCCTTGGGCACATACTAGGGAAGAAGAAACAGTGTCAAATGCTGTCAGCAGGATCTGCGATGTGGGACTGCAACCCTCCCTCACTGCCTTTTTACTGAAATTATTTGCTAGTTTTGATCAAAAATGAATGTGTGTCAGTATGCAGCCTGGTATTGGCACATGGAGCTTTTCCATCACTGATCACAGCCCAATCCTAACAGCTGTTGGATCCCACACAAAATAACTCATCTTCATTTAGGTTCCAGTGCTGTGTCAATTCACACGACGGCTGACAATGCCAGCCAGGCTACCAGCCAAAAGAGAGCTCCTGACAGAAGATGAGAGAACTCCAGTGACACAGGGAGGTAGAGTATCGGGATATTTTCCTGCAGACATGGTCTGTATTCCCTCTGTTGTCTCAGCAGAGAGCCTGAAATAATCCCAGGGCTATGCAGCTGTCATTCCTCCCACATACTAAACTCATTCAAATACAAGAAATTAAAGCACAAACTTACTTACTGGGATTCAAAGCCACACTTAGGTAAAGTAGCTTAGTTTGTGTGTTTAAAAATTAATAAATCTTTACACATCTTTATAAAACAAACATTCACTGCACAGAGAATCCAAACAGATGAATACTAACCATAGAGCCTTCTCCATTCCATTTGTCACCCATCACTGGATCACACACTGTAAGAGAATAAATTTAGGTTTAGAAATGGGGTACAGTTATAGAGACCCTGGTTGAAGGGAAAAATTCTAGGTAACAGCCCTGAGCACCTTATAGCTTATATAATTTCACAGCTCTTGCAGTACACTCAGCCTGAAATTTGTAACTGGTGGCTGCCAATCCTGAAAGAGTAGGCCATGTCTTAAAGAGTTATCAAGCTGGGATTACCCTCTCTTGCCTGTTTCCATGTTGTTATGTCTGAAGATGATGAGGATGAGAGGATCTGAGTGCTGGGAGTAAAGGGCCTTTTGTTATGGAGAACACAAAGAGCCCTCCCCTTCACTCCCCAACCCTAAACTCTGGAATGGTAGTACGGTTGGGAAGAAATGTGGGAGAAGCTAATAGCTCTGAAAAGAGTCCCATTTCTACTTCAGTGTAAAAAAATACATGCCAAATGTACACACCAAAATGTTGAGTGTATATTAAATAAAAAGCGTATTATAATGAAACAGTAAGAAAATCCATGCCAAACTACAAGAATTCATATTTGGTGTAGTAATATTAACATGTGTTTGGGATGGGTTCTGTATCATCAGCAGCATTAACAATGTATTCCAAGTGTCCTCAGTTTCAGAGCATGGAAATAGCCACAGTGTACTTCAAAAAGGAACATTGTTCACTATATTAAAAGAGCCTTTAGCAAGATAAAAAAGAAATACAAATCCAATCAGTATTTAAGGAAGTTTTTCTATGAATAAAAAGAGGGTAATTTGTTTTACATTTTAAAAGTATTTTCCTTACATTATAATCTATTTATTAAATATAAAGGGTCTTAGAAGCCTAGCTGTGATCTCGACATCTGACCTCTTCCTTTTCTATACAGTGAGAGACTCCTTTCTACTCATATTCCAACAGTCCTTAGTTTTCATACAAGGCTCTGGAGAATCTGACAATGCAACAGTGTTAATAAAGACTAAAAAGCAACAAAACCCAGTGAAGATCTCTCTGCTCCATTTTGCTAAATGAGCACTGTGCTTTGTTAATTTTAAGTCATCAGCAGTAGACACCTGCAAATCCTGCCAATCTTTCTAAATGCTTCCTGACCACACAGTTTACTGAACCTGAAGATGACAGCTAAAAACCATAATTCACAGCTTTTTATCCCACTAAATCCTCCCTGAGCTTGCCCTGTCACTCTAAACGTTTTGCTCAATTCAAGCCTACACTGGTTATGTTCAAATGTCCCAAAAGAGATTCAGGAAGGAAAGAGGAGAATTTTTTTCCCACAGGTTTAAGCCTGACATGACATGTTAATGAGGACAGTTGCTAGAGCCTGTTGCTCCCACATTTTAGCAGAAGGCACCAGAGCTAAAAAAAGACTTGGAGTTTAAGGTGAATCATGAAGCTTACAAGGCAAAGTAAGACATTTATGGGATGTTACATGAAGCCATGGCAGGGCAACACGGGAGAGTCTGTCCTGCTTTTGACTGACTGGGAAGTCTGGGAGAGGCTTCAGCCATCAGCACATGCAGCCTCTGAACTACCACCAGCAGCAGCTGGCTGGGATTTTTATCCTTTCTTGGATACAGACAGTCAGTCCTCAAGGCACATTCTCCCTTGGACAGCATAAGGCAAGAAACATACTGAAAGGCATAAAATCAGAAAGATAAAAAGCCAAGTCCCTCAACACTTAAAGCTGAAATGAAACACCACTGGAGCCTCAGAGAGCCCCCAGGTCAGCGGAGAAGATGGTTGTGAAATGCTGTGTAACATCAGAGCAGTGTTGTCATCCTAAAACAGTAAAATGAATAAAATTAATAAAAACGCAGTGATGAAACAGAAAGGATTATAATGCACTTCCTTACCATATACAAGGTTGGAATTCTGTTGCTTCAACTCCTGGACAATATCCACCACCATTGCAAGAAATGATGTGTCTCTTGTATACCCTTTGGGGAAAAAAATAAAAAGAAAGACATTTCTGAAGTCTATTTTCATGAACACTTCTTCTGTTTTTAGTTTTGGATAGGAATGCTGCATACTTCTCATTCTTTGGATAAATGCATTTTTAAAACAAAGGCATTTTAGTAGTTCATTCAGGAAAAATCGGTGGAAAACAAATTCAGACAACTACAAATATAACCTTAAAAATCCATTTACTAAATATGTTATATATGAAGGGCTCATACAATTTCAAAATGCTTGAACATATATAAACAAAGGTCAGGCTAAAAGGAAAAAACCTTTCCTTTTCATCAAAACAGCAGTCTAATAAGTATTATTTATGATGTAGTAAATATTTTAATTTCCATATACTTTTCTCATACTCTGTCTTAAAGCAATTTTTTAATTATTATTATTAATGTTTGCTCTGATAAAGTCTAGCACACTAATGCAATGGAGTTTTAATTTTGAATATTTTAGAGCAATGGCCAAAGCACCAATAAAATTCCTGTTTTTTAGGCTTAGCAGTGAAAAAAAATGGAAATAAATTTTACTATATTTTAAGGACTTAATCGCACTGCTAGCACCACAATATTCTTATTTAAAAATTAATTTCTTTATTTTATAGATGTTTCTTAATTTATATACTTATAGATTAACTTCATTTGCAGCATTTATAAATTAACAATTTTATTTTAATTTATTTTAGTTCATTCAATACTATTATTTTGAGCCAGGTAGCACCTTCAAACCTTCAGCTTGGAAATGTCCACTCTACTAAAATATTTAAAAGTGCATTTTGGTGATTTTTTTTTTTTAAAACTTGCAAAACTGATCAATTCTTAGATGTTACAGAGAAATGGAAAAAGCTTCCACGATTTTTGGCCAGAATGCTTTGCCTTACATCTATGAAATGCTGATCATCAGGAAAAAGAGCCAAGCAAAGATTTTTGTTATAGACTGGCTGAAAAAAAAAAAATACACAGCTTGGTTAACATTATTGACAGAGGTGTTTAAAACAATTACACTGAATTGGAGTTTATCTCTTACCTTGAGTCTTTTACTGTAAATGAAACAAGTATATGAAGATCTACAAATAACAACAGTCACAAAAGTTAACAGTGTTACTTTGTCTAAGTGGCCTAAAGACAATAACTTCCATCTCAGCCAAGATATCTACAGTCACCAGACATACAATTAACAATAAAATCCTGTCCGTTGAGAAATCAATTTGTTTTCAGTGTGTAAATAATCATATCCAGGTTGCTGGAGGTACAAAGTAGTTGTCCACTATAGTGAATGGCTGTTCCTGTTTGAAGAGAAAAACCTGACTTTTGGCCCTGAATTTTAAGTTCAGTTGCAGTGCAGCTGCAGAATAAAACACTGGAAGTATTATTGGATATTAAGAAATTACTGACATTTCTACCCATGCCTTCTTTTTGTCCATGTGGAAAATGTCTACAGCAAATAAGATTTTTAAAACAAACTTGAACAACACACTGATCCATCTACCCACAAATCCTTTTTTAAAAGGCATGTTAATAAAGATTCCCTTTTTCTCCGAAATTCCTTTTCTTTTGCTGAAGATTTCTGTTTCTCATTCTTCCACTTTTAATCTCTTACATCCATTTTGCCAGTACAAGACTGTGATAGAAAGGGTGTAGAGGTCTCTTCCAAGAGTTAGAAGTAAAATAAAAAAGGAACATTTCAGCTAAAAGAATACTCAAACACTATTTAGAATTTTTGCATACTAGCATCTCCTGAAAATTCCTGCAATACAGTGTGTTCTTCCTGGAAATGCCCTCTGAGAGAGTTCTTTCAAGGAAAAAAAGGGTGTTCATCTATTTCTCAATCACAGAGAACTCCTTTATGCCAAAATTAATTTCTTAACCTTAGTTCAATCTACTTTCTATTTAGTCTCCTTTATTTTGGAGATATTCCTTGAAAAAGCCCTGACAATAACTCTTCAGACATGTCATACCCTTCCAGCCAGAATGACTGCTGTGGAGTTATAATCCATACACTTAAAAGTTTCCAATTTTCCCTGTATATAAAGAACTTCCTTACATGTGGAAGCCATGAAATCAATTAAATCTGGTTATATATTTCTGCTTACCTTTAAAAAGTGACTGTTCACTGCTATAAAAAAATGATACTGTAATCTAAACCAGATGCACAACTCTTACTGAGGTGAAACCTGATCGGTAACCTACTTTTGAGAAGCAGGAATTGGATGAGAAGCAATCTTTAATAAAAACTGCACGTAGAATCTCTCATTTCTAGAAAATGTTTTACAAGAAGTTCTCTTTGCCTGTATTTATAAACACTTTGTACTTAGTGCTAGAAAAGGAAGACACTGCAGGACTGTATTCACTCAGATGACCTACATAGTAACAAGAGCAAAAAATCAAGACATGACAGAGTCAAACCCAAAATCCAACCCTGCTTATACTTTGCTCCGTGTCCAAGCACTATGCCTGAAAGATCAAGCAAAAAAATCAAGGACATACAACTGTGTATAAAATCATGCTGCAGTAGCACAGAGTGCCAGTGCTGCAGATTTAGGAGAAAGGGTTAAACTCGTGTCTTCCTAACAAATTTTAAAATAATACTCTGACATTCCTCATCCTTTTTTTCCAGTAGAGGCACTCCCAAAACATTAAGTATGCCTGCACATGACTGGCCTGTACAAGTCTGTAAATTATACAAGGGGATCAATTTACCCACCCAGTTACAACCTGCAGGCTGGAGAGCTCTGGCTGTTCCAAATTAAACAGCATGAGCAGTTGAGACTATAATATACAGGTGAAATTGCAGGAGGAACCAAAGGAGGGAAATTTTAATTGCTTGGTTTGCAATAAGGAGGGATATGGTTTATATTTCTTTAGTTCTGTTTACATCTCATGAGAACTCCGGGGAACCAGCTCATCTTACCTGTGAGTACATAATCGTAGCGGTTGACCTTGTTCAGCTTCAGTCCTTCATACAGTTCATGAAGTTCATCTGAATTCAACACCTGACCCTTCCAATGGGCATAACCTGCAAAGCAAATGCCAGATAATTTTTTTCAAGAGCTGGATTTTCTATTTCAGATCACACATTATACACATGCAGGGACCACATCAATTATCAGCATCAAAAAGCATTTCCACCTCTTCTGTAAAATGCTGTTGCCGAATGAAAGCTGCTGTCAGCAGAACAGCTGATGTGCTCAGCTTCTTCTTAGCACTTCTGTCTCCCAAAGAATGACTACGCTGCAATTTGAGACTGTCCATTTACCAGCAAATCAAGCTGAGAACACACAAGCTCCTGCAAGATTTCCCATGGAGCCTTTGCAACTACCCCTTTCCTGTGCGGAGGGTGACAAACATATGTTTTAGGCTTCACTGGAGGAGGGTGTCAGCACAACATATCTTTGTTATTTTATACTATATTAAAAAAGAGAAAATTGACAGTTAGATGACAAGCTTAACAGGCTTGTGGATCTGTCCATACCCAGATATGCAGCACTGCTGCACCCCATCAGATGTGGTGCTTGCTGGGACTTGCATGTAACGAATAGACATATAATGTCATCTGACAGATTTTCTTCCCAAAATAGCACAGCTTTAGTACTGAGAATCCTGGAGGAGGAAATGAGTAGCAGAAAGACACTATAAACAGACAAATAATATCCATACACTCTTATCCTTGAATGATCTCTAAGAATTACAAGCCAATATTCTCAGCCGAGAAGCGGATGGAATGTGAAGTTACTTGGGAGAAGCTGAAACGATTCCAGCAAACAGTGGACCAAGCTTCATGGAAGCCAATTTCAAGGAAAAGAAAAATAATTTCCCTTAGCAGAATCTAAATATTTATTGAAAAATGTAAATGCACCTTGCACCTTGTTGTCAAAGCCTGCTGCCCATCTAGGTGGCACCAATCCCTTCCCTGTATGTAAGAATGGAGCTTCCTCCAGGATTTTAGATGAAGCACCCGCAGTTTAACTCTTCCAACTTCCATAAAATCAGAGGTTGTTAAAAAGCTTATCTTTTTATTAACTGGAATTAGGAAAAGTGAAATGTTAAAATCATGTGTCTTCTTCCATACCACCCTTGTGTGATAACTTCTGCTCTTGCAGTTAGGAAATTCTGTGATAAAAACTGTTGGTTTTGATTATCACTCTAAACTGTGTTATTAGAGTAACTGCCAAAAGGTGCCTGGAGCTTAGTCTAAGCACATTTTTCAGTTTTCCTTCTTATGAATGCAAATACACCCACAGTATGGTGAGCAGATGGATCATTTTGTTCTCCTCAGCTCACAAAGGCCAAGCCTCTAAAACACGACTCGCTGCCAGCTGGCTGGGGGCCTGACTCACATCAGCCACCACCACTCTCTCCCAGGCAAACGCCTCCCACAAAGTCCCTGTGAAGAAATGGACAAAGTGGGGGATTTCCGTATGTCAGGGCTGTGGTTTCATTGCAAAAGACAGTGCTATTCAAAACTGCAACAGCCAACACCCAGGCACACCTCTAGTTCTTCAGGCACCCCGAGCGTATGAGGAACCCTTGACTACACCTAACCCCAGTAGCTGGTTAATTAACACATATGCAGATGTTTGTTCTGTCACATCTGCAATGCCAGAGAGAAATCATCTGTCCTCTCCTCTTCCTTGAATCTCTGTAGCACTGCAAAGCCCGTACAGGGACACAACAGGGTCCTTCCACTGTGGCCATGAATGAAACTGGGTGCATTTTTCACCCAGAAGCAAGATCTGCTGGCAAAAGTGCAGATTTTTGCCTCACACGTGGCCATAAATATAAATATGACTGCCCAGACAATCCAGATACTCTCAGGAGGCATCCCTACAAATTCACCATTTAACTAAGAGTTCACCTGCCTGTGTCAAGCTGTCTGTACCAAGCTGCCTTAAATACTCAATGCACGGGGTTCATGTCACACTGATCCCTCCACTGAGGGGGAGAAATAAATATGGAAACACAATATTGGGCAGCAGCCCAGCTTAGCTCAGGAATTGGTAACTCACCCACACGGGGCAGGGACATTGAACTCTGTAGCAATGACTTCCAAAGGTTCTAAAGGAGCCTTTTTACTACATGGTAAAGTGTAATACAACCTAAAGTCTAATCACACAACAGCCAGAGGAAAAACAAAACCCTAGGGAAGCTCTCAGGGAAGCCCCAGCTATTCAGACAGAAAAAAAAGGTGAAATGCCTTCACTGGATCTGCAGAGAACTGTGATTTCACTAGGAACTGAATTATGCTGGAGCAAGAAGAAACAAACAAAATCAAAACTGGCAGCAAAATGGAAATCACCCTGAGCCCTTTCCCCAGGGTAATGTCATGTAACATGATGAACAAGGTGCAAACCCTGTGACCCTGCATTTATCCTGCTCTCCTCACGGAATATACAACCAAAAATCAGCTTCTGTAGAGGGACAGAAGAAAAAGCCAGTTACTCATGTTCAAAAAGTGTTTCACTAACTGCAGAATGGATAAGTTGGGGTCTCAGGAAGAGGGACTATCTTGAAAGGGGTCTTCCCTGAGTCTTCCTTGTTTTATGTGCAAAACCACCAAATAATTCCCCTCGGTGCTGGACTGAGAGAACAGAGAACACTGCAAATCATGATCCAGCTCTCCAAAAGACCACTTGGCTCAATCTAACTGTATTAGTCTCCCAGATTTGTAAATAATTTTAAACACACAGAAGAGCATAAGCATTCAAATGACTTTATACCCCTTCTGCTTATCTGTGATATGACCTTTTATTGCAATTATCTATTTGGTTTTAGCACATAAGGGAATGAAAAACAGGTAAGATATCATGACTTATGTCACTTATCCCTCTAAAAGGACATATGTATTCATCAGTCTCCAGGGAAATATCTTGGTTCATCTGTATGAAAAAGAAAAAAAATAACAAAACCACAACCCAGACAGGTAGCTAATACTACACCCAAGATGAATTTACACACTTTTTTGTCTTGCCTTCCTCCACTAGTACTTTTTTTCTCCTTTGGAATGTATTTATAATCCTCTTAATTACTTTCAAAAACAAGGAAGAAAGAAAATAAAAGTCCCAAGCATATCAGAAGGGACAAAAAACCCCAACCAAGCAACGCAGCAAAACAAAAAATAAGCTACCATTTCGGTACAGCAAGGCGTGTAAGATTTCTTTGTTTTCCAACCCAGAACACTCTGTTCTGAGGTTTGAGTTCCTCCTGTGGTGCTCCCTGCAAAACTATTCCAAGTGGCTTCACTACCCAAGTATTTCACATGGGAAAAAGGAAGAAAGATCTAGTGTTTAAGGCACATGATGGACAGGCAGTCTGGTTTGAATTACAAAATTCACATGTAAACTCCAGCAGACAACCTGGCCTAAACACATGACTAATCTTTAGCTACCAGGAGGCCTTCAACAAATACAGAAATACAGTACCAAATTCCCCACTGGATTTTTTACAGCTGGGCAGTGTGGGAGTAAAATACTAGCAGTGTTAGGCATGAGTGGAGATCTTTTCTTTTTGCCCCTGCACACACAGGTGTGAGTGACTGCATATGGGTGGCAGACTATGAGGAATCACATCAAGACATAATTATAATTTATCACGTATTAGACCTACCAGCCAACCCAACCACCCACTACACACCCACTAAGTGGAAGTCAAAAGTGCTTAGAAATAAAAAGGAACAGAAAAAAAACCCCTGGGCTCTTTGTTCCAGAGCAGTTTCAAAGGTAGGATTTGGACAGCAAAGTAAGCACATTATATGCTTGCTGGTAACCTACCAATGAAAAACAAAAATGAAAATCCCCGAGGAATTAAAAATGCACCCCAAAATATCAACAATAGAATAATAAAAAAAAAAATCTAGATTTTAATTTTTGCACATCAGACAATGAGATGCTTCTGCAAACAGTACAGTAAAATAGAATAAAAAGCACAGTCTTTGTAGGCTGCATGACAGCTTCTTTTATTTGTACATGAAGCACGATGCCATTCAAGTGTGAGTCACTCTAATCACAAAAGATCCTCACGAAGCAACATGACAAACTGTTCTCCCAGGGGGACTGATTTAAAGCACATTTTCCAAATTTCAGGATTATCAGAGACTAAAGAAAGCTGAATTTTCTGAGCAGGAGTCAGCAGAAAGTTGCCCGTGGTAGCTTACTAATTTAAAGACAGGGCAAAAAAAGAGCAATAATGATTCACCCAAGAAAGTCTGTTAGTCATAAATTCTCTCTGCATTTTATCTTTTGCTGCCAGGACCAAGTTTAAAAACAGGGAAAGAAGGAAAGAAAGAACATCATGTCCAGAACCTCACAGACTTTTCTACCTGTGCTCCTCTGGTATGTGGCACTCTTTCAGAAACTACAGTTCACACCCAGATTTTGAAGGAGGAATTTGTCCTTCAGCTTTAATGAGGATGCCAGAAAGGGTTCCCATAAGATTTTGTTTTTATAGGAAAATCAAGTTGCCTTCACCCATTCATCCAGCACACAATGTTTGTGTATTGCAGCACAGCTCCAGACCCAAGTTCTGCTTCCCAAAGCCATGAGATTGTGTGGCAACCTTTGGGATTTTTTTTTAAACGCATTTTCTAAGACAATCAAGATTACAAGGAAAAAAAAAAAAAGAAATAATGTCACTGCTAAACACCAGGAGTAGTTCCTGGTGTTTATATTTTACAGACTTGTGACCTTTGAGACATTTTTGGGTTTGGGATGTTCATTTAGGTCTTCTTTTGGGGGAAGACCCTTCTACTATCCACTACTATCTACTACCCTTCTACTATCTTCACTGTCTGCCAAACCTTGAATGAAACACTGGTAACCTTTCTCCAGCTATTTCTTTCTTTTCTGTTTTAAGAACCTGCTCATCCTATTGGTAATGTAATTTTCCTACCTTCAGACACATTCAGTTCATGGTCAGTAAAACTTCTTCTAAGCTCTTTTAATGCCCTGTAAAGCTGATTTAATCTTGAAACTGAAAGCCAACAGACAACATGTGCTCATGCACCTTAAGAGCCAAGTTATTTAACATGAAAAAATTGCTTAATTTCTGGAAGATCACAGGAGTTTTACCCAGCTACCAAAACCAAACAACAGAAAATCCCAAACTCCAAACCTAAACACATTAAAGAAATGGAAGTTACACCTAAGTACCTCTGAAAAACATGACAGAACCTTTGTACTGTGCCAAAGGGTACGAGCAAAATAAGCAGCTTTTTGACTGAGCCAGAAAAGGCACCCACCCCCTTGTTTAATTATTACCTCTTTTGTGCCTTTCCTTAACAAGCAGAGATGGCTTTCAAGCTACTTTTGAAACATTAATTTCTTCTTCCCAGGTTGACACTACATTCCTTCCATGATAGGCATCTTATAATCTCTTGAAAGCTGCATGGAGCTCAACACAGTGAGAGAAGACAGAGGCCTCCTTGTCTGCTCTCTGTTCCAAAAATGAGCAGTTTATTAACACAGCTGTTCCTGTGAGATACTAGGAAAGTACCTAAACATTTGTGGGGTTTTTTTTTGTTTGGTTAGTTTGGTTTTGTGGTTTTGTATTTTTTTGTTTGTTTGTTTTTGTTTGGTTGGTTTTGGTTGGGTTTTTTTTTGTGTGTGTGTGTGTGTCAGAAACAAATTTTTCTCTTTTTCAAGATGTTAAAGTCTGGATTTGCTTCTTAAGACACCCGTGGAATGTCTTTATCTAGAGTAGGTCTCCCCTCAAATAATCCATCACCACCAAGACAGTAAATGTGTCTCTTTTGATCCAGAAACAGCAAGTCACTTGGAGCTCGTTTGTGGGTGAAAGGTATTGCTAAAATAAACATAAATTTCAGCTGTCTTTAAGAAGACAAAAGTTCTCTAGCACTCTGAATATTAATAAGTCTGAAAGTATTATGTGAGTGCATCATATAAATAAAATAAAATAAAAATACACCCAAATGTATTAACACCCTTCCTCCCTCCAAATTTTAGGATACTTGCTAGCCATCTGGGTAGGCACACAAAGATAAGAAACATTGAGTCTACCTCAGTATTCTCTGATGTTTGGGTTGGTAATGTGATTATGACTGTCATAGGGCCATAATGCACAGAAAACCATTCTGAAGACTCCCCCATTCACAGGCCTGGCTGTGTAAATGGCCTTATTTGTGTTGTTTCACTGTCTGAGTTAATTAGATTACTGCCTAACAAAGAGAAACTCACACTCTGAAGGGCAGATCAGGACATTACCACCTCATATCATGCCCTACTCCCAAATCCAGACTTCAGAGAGACTTTCGAAACATGAAAATTACATTTTCGTGCTATATCCTGAAAATGTGAGTGAAAACAAAAGGCCAATCTCCTCTCCACTGCCATGGGATGAGGTGAGCCACGTGTTGAGCAGAGCTGAGTGACTGTGGAGTAGTATCTGTAAAATTTTACCTGTGTGGTTTGAAAACTGGACAGAGTTCACCGTATCAACTTCAAATCCCAAAACCTGTAATAGAACACAGGGATATTTCTTTTACTAACACAGCTTCATTAATACGTTACCAGTGTCACAAAACACAAGGAAGTACTCTCAGTTTCCAGTGCATATTTAAAAATCTTGAAAGCTGAGTCAACAAACATGCAACATAAACAAACAGCAAAGTGCTTTACTACAGCAACCAACATGGAACAAAAGTGCTGCTGGCAACAGCACCAGGAAAATAGAGCTCTGGATCCTCAGGCTGGAGTTCATCTGGGGATAAGGATGGATGGGCTGGTCCAGCAGCAATCACTGAAACCCTGAAGAGAACCTTTCTTGGCAAGAAAATATCTCTCAGGTACTAAATTAACGCAAAATATGGAGGGAGGATGCTGTTGGTATTCCAGAAAGCAAATTTTTATAAAAGGAGGACAGAAGAATCTTAAAGGGAATCAATGCTACAAGCCATACTTGGATGTCACAATCAGTTTCTTAACAGCTAAAAATGAATAGAAAGAAATGCCAGAGAACTTATTTGGGGCATGATTGGGCAGAAAAGGGAGAAAGCTCTTAAAAACACAGAGTAAAAAAGGCCTAAAGCATGTTCCAAAAGCCACCTGGTACCCTGCATTACCAGCAATCCAAATATTAAAATATCCAAGAATTTGCTAATGCAATCAACAAACATTCCTGTGGCCCGAAAATATATGAATATTATAAAAATAACAGCATTGAATCAGGAGAAAACTAATGAGGATTTTTAACCTCACAATACCTGCTTAATACAGGCATTGCTGGCCAAGCCATTTTTGTCTCTCATGGAAGGAATTCTAATGCAAAAGTGACATTAACAGTCTGACGCTGAATATTTGTTTCCACATCCAGCTTTCTCTGAGTAAGAAATCTCTTCAAAAGACAAGCTGCTATGTATGGCTCAGTGAGTCATACTGGGAGATAAAAGGAATGATGCACCACTGTGTATGATCCTCTTTCAGGCAATTTGCTGGGAGGGGTGAGTGAAGAAACAAAGCTTTTTCAGTCACGTTTTTTTCACCGAGACTCACGACTCTCCCTTTTCAGCATGAAGGCAACCCCTTCACACGCATTAAAAACCTCTGGGTGCATGTGCCAGACGTCAGGCTTTCCCTGTGCATGTACTTTCTCTGTGATAAGCCCCTTATTTCAGTCCTTGTGCTGCTACAAGAAGGATGTATGTGCTGCGACAGATCACTCCTTCTCCCTGTAGGTGCTACACTTCTGTCATTTCACAGCTCAGAGTCCACACAGGTCTTCACAGAATTCTTATTTCAGTATTTAATAAAGGTTTCTGTTCATTCCACACCAGAAAGCAAATTAATCCTTTGATAATGACAGACAGAATGGAGGGTTGCCTCAAACTGTTCTAGTTCAAATTAACCCCAGCTTCTACTCCTTGCCTAGGTTTCTTGTTTTACCTTGGTGGATTTTATTTTAAAGGCCCAGGAATTAAAAGGGGTGAGAACATGACCATACTGTAATGACCTTAACCTTGATGTCTGCACATGCTCTTCAAAGAAATAAATGATAATATGACCTCTAACCGGACTGTCACCCCATATTCAATTCCCCTCCCTGCAATGAACAGACCTAAGTAGTTCTTACTTCCTTCAAATGTCTTGGCAACAATTGTGAATTAATCCATTTCAGATCACGTCTCTTCAACTATTTAATACCTGACACCACAGAACACACTTACTGTGATTTACTAACTAATCAGGTTCACACAGGGCTTTAGGGAAGGAGAGCAGGCACAGCTGCTGAAGGGAGGGCAGTTCTACAACACAGGTAAGCACTGTCCCAGAGCAGTCCTCCTCTATTCTCTCCACCAGCACTAGCTATCATTTGATTTCTCAACAAGCTTTTCTGTAGGATTAGGGACTTTTGGTTTGTTTTGGCCAGCTAAATCTGCTTCAACCAGCAGAAGGGAAAATACAAGTGAGGCCACCTCTCCTGCAGACAGCCAGGTGCCAGGTTAGCTTAGCTGTGCACTTGGTACAAGAGTAAAGAAAATGCTTTGAATAGTTGATGAAAAGCCACAGACAAGTCAAATTCTGCAAGGGAGCTGGATATTCTCACTTTTTTTCACCGGTGCAAGACAGGCTAAAAAGCCTTTAAAGGTCTCCAGGACAATCACTGGTGTTAGTTTACTCTGTCACAGTTTCTAATTTGCTCTGAAGTTTTTTTCTTGAATAAACACATACGACTAAAATCTAACACACCTCATTCAAGCCTCAAAATAAGCCACAGTTACTCCAAAGCACTGCCTTTCATAAAGATTCTTATAAAAACAGAGGATTAAAATATACAAAATGTTATTTAAAAACTATGTACCATTAAACTCCCTATTTAGTACTACCTTTGAAAGAAGACCAACAGATGTTAAGGCCTAGGCCAGTATAAAGTAGTAGAATAATCAAAAAGAATGCTGAAGACCTGAAAACAGGGTATACTGACGTGTTGAAAGCAGCTTTTGACAGCAATCACCTCTTCTGGGGCTGCAGAGAAAACTCTTTATTTTGGTTTGTGTAGTTCATTTTAACAACCAGATCATTTATAGTGGATAAGGAAATGTTTTCTCCTTCAATCAATGTTTAAAAACCAGTATTAGTAACTGTCATCCTTGCACAGCTAAAGGACTGCACACATCAGAGAGAGTTTTTGATGTCCTGAATGATGAATACTTTCCCTGCTTACAAGGGAAGCTGTGTTCAAAAGATACCTTGTTAAACCTTTTTAATACACGTAATTTAATTCCTTTTAATTCTTTGGGCAGAGCTGACTAAAAGAAGTGATTTTGAGGTTTGTATTTTTTCCAATTAATTAAGAATTTCTACTCAAACCAGAGGTTAAATAAATCTTAGTTCTAAGTTAACTACCTAATGAGAAATACATGAGGTTTCTTATGTACAGACTTAGAAAACTGAGATAGAGTAAATGTGTTGAATCAGATAAACCATACTAGAAAACTAAGACAGAGTAAATGTATTGAATCAGATAAACAATATATAAAAAAAAGTCAGCCTCTCATATTTGCACACAAAAGAACATATGTCAAAAAATATATGCCTTTGGTTGAATATCAGCATTTTTTTCTAATGTCATAAGCCAGTAAAAATCCACCTTTTCTCTGGAAAATTACTAGAAAGTAAAAATTCAAAAGAGGACTAAAGTCAATATATATTAAGTTTCTTGCTTGTGTTCCTTGTACTTCTGTGTAAATAAACTGAGAAATTCACCTCACTTGGATTTTGATTATTTTGCTTATAGCAGAAGTGCCTTCAGAGCATATTTGATCAGTGTCAGGACTGAGCTTACTAAGAAATGCACAGTAATACTTAATTTATTGCTTCTCTATACCATCTTGAAATAGTCCACACCCATGCTACTTCCCCTGCTCCCTACAGCAAGTGTCCTGTGGGGATATTCCTGCCTCTGGTTTTAGAAATGTAGGTGACATCAGACACTCTGCAAGGGATGCACATCACCTACGCTACAACCATCCCCTGATCTGGATGATCTGGTCTCCTACAGGCCCTCCAGCACAGAACAGTTCCAGGTTTCCACGCTCTCCCCCTCTGCTGTCATTCTGTGTAAGCATCATTAGCCCACAGAACTGCAAATCTTGGGCAAATCTAAAGCCATCACCAGTTTGGGTAAGGATGATAAGAGCTCTTCAAAGGAAAAAGATGACTAAGTTCATCCCAAATCTCTCAGCCTCCAGTCTAAGTACGTGTCAAACACTGTTCTTCTTAAGACACAAATTAAAATTGCCTATATCACATCATACAGTGACATTTACTGCAATTGAAATCTCAGAGGAAAACGGGCAAATTTAATGTATTTTTTAAGTATCTTCAAGCAAGGAGGCAGAACCGTTAAACTTCTAAAATTAAATCACTAACCATCAAAACTGGAGGAGTCCTGTATTTGGAAGCCATGGCTGGCAGATGTGAATGACACATTTCAGAAAAATATTTGCAAGATTAAATCAAAATACACACACCAGAGCAAAATGCATTAGAAGAAACAGCCAGCATGAAGCACACGTGCCAACATTATGTTTGAGATGAAGTTGGGCTGAGCTCTTCATCACAAATAACTGAAGGAAAGGGACAAACATCATCCAGTTCTTCCCACAGTGCAGACAGTGCTATCCCAGCCTTGTAAAGAGAAGGTGCATCACCTGGGCAGGCACCTGGTCTAGAGAATTATCTGAATGCACCTCTCCAAACTAGCAAATGTTCAAGGGAAAAATCAACACAACAGAAAGGAAGAGACTTCAGAATACGTTGACAACCTCTAAGTGTCGGCTCTTTTTTGAAAACAGGACCAACCAGTTTTATCTAAAAGGACAGAAGAATTTAAACTTAAGCCACAAATAAAAAGCCAAGAAATGGGTCCCCTTCAGGATTCAAATTTTACATGTGATACCAGTTGTTTTACTAGAAGAACAACCTAATGACCCAGACAGACAGAAAATGTCTGAAGTTGGGCAAGTTACATAAATAGCATGATCTCAGTTAGGGTTCACCTCTAATAATGCAACTCTTTGGACTCTGCCACTGTGTTACCACACTAATTAGAGCTTTGTTTAAAATTTACAGCCTCTCTTCCTTCCAGAAAACATTTCAATATACAAACACTGAAACAAACCAGTACCTAAGCAATAGAGAAATGAACAGGGAGACTTTGAAGCAAGTGCAACATCTCAAATCCAGTTTTAATGATTGCTAAGCTTTATGTTTATATTTGTGTAATCTACATTATCTACCAATGGTCTTGAGATAAATAAAAGTACTCATTTGTACCTCCTAATACTATTTGGTATCTGATTGTTAACACCACTTGAGACAGAAAACTGTTCACTTCAAAGATTAGCTCTGCCTCAGGGTAAATATCAATATAAATTCTCATTTAATAATTTTATTTACTTTGAGAAATGTGAAAAGCTATTATTGAACTGCTCCTGTTTAACATTTGTATTGCAG